CTGCAGGCTTGGCTGTGGCTGTCTGTCTGCTGGGTCCCTCTTTCTTATGGGAATTGCCTTGCAGGTCAGTGCTGTCCCACCACGTCTGTCCTGTGCATCGTACCCCAGGAGGGACTCTTTTGCCCTCCTGTAAAGATTCTAGCTAGCTACCTCTGGGGGAAATGGCTAATCCCTGGGCTGATTTTCAGTGCCTGGACAATGAGTGTGTATGTACAAATAGTGTGAGCCGAGTAGTAGTCCTCTTAGGTGTAAGCTGTCTAATGGTTTCTATCTTTACTCTTCTCAGAAGTTGTCATACCTGGGTGTCCTTTGGTTTCTCAGGAGGTTAATGCAATACCTTTTTCCTTGCCATGTCATTTTGACGGGGGGCACTGTTCCCCCTCTCACTTGCAACCTGCCCAGACCCCCAGCCTGCTCAGGGCTCAGCTTGCCCTTGCCCAAGCTGCACTTGCTCTTCCTCACCTGGAGACCTTGAAGAAGCATTGCTGGTGCGGCTGCCCCCTAGCACTGGGTGTGGGCTGTGGTCCTCACGTGCGCCAGGACCATCCTATGGAGTCTGGGGAGGAGGGAGGATCATTTGGAGGCTGTCGAGTGGTGAAGTGGATCCTGTTGGACCGCTGGCGCATGGCTGGCTGTCCTGCATGGCGCCCTCAGGCTCCTGCAAGGGCTCCGGGGAAGCTGGGGATACCAGTTCGGCTCTTCCAGCCCCAGCAGAACCTGTGACACAGAGCATGTGCCCCTGCCTGAGCCTCTCCAGCGCAAAGTCCAGACTCTTGGCTTCAAAAACCGCCTTCAGCAGTTTCTCCTAGGTGCCAGGCTGTGGGCTGGAGCAGCTTGGGGGCAGGCCGGCTCCTTTCTGTTGACTTGGCTGCCAGGGAAGGAGGGGTCTGCTGTGTCAGGGATGGAGCGCATGCCAGAGCTGAGGACTCTGCGTTCCTGCTGGGAGCCTGGGCTGCCCTCTGAGGCTGTCCCAGCTGGTGCTGGGGTGCTCTGAGCCCTCGTCCATATGGCATGTGAGTGGTACACCAGGAGCAGGCACTACAGCTTTCTTGCTAGAGGTGCAGGTATTTCTGCTGTATAACACCAGGCCTCTGCCTAGCCCTGCAGATTTATTCCACCTCTTCTTTTGCCTTCTCTAAAAATCCATTACAAGCTGCATTGGATGTAAGAAAAGGTAACCAGGCCATCAGGTGTTGGGTTTGATTTCCCCAGGTAAGGTAGTAAATATGTCTCCTAGGCTGAGCACAGTGGTCCTACAGCACGTGTCCCTCTTGGGGGGACACATTTAGCTGTGGAGCTGCTGTTGCCCTGGCTGTCTGGTCCTTGTGCAAAGGCTCTTATCTTTCCAGGTACGAGGTGTTTGCTCACCTGGACGCCCCCATGAGCTTCCCGCCCCTTGAGGGCTGCTGTGCTGCAGCCAGCCGTGGGCTGGAAGGAAAGCACAAGGTGTCTGCACAGCCTTGCCCATCTTGGTGCTCGCCAGGCATATCGGGGAGCAAGCGTCAAAAGCTAGTGAATGCTTTGGCTGTGCCTTGGCCGTGGGAGGGGTTTGCAATACTGGCATCGGGGCCACGATGCTCCCACCTGTGCCTTGTCCCCTTGTTTGTTAAGAAATAACCTCCTCTTAGTTGGGCAACCCCATGGGCAAATGATCTGGTTCTGGCTGAAGGCAGCGGATCAAAACTCGAGACCTGCTTTTCTGTTCCTGGCTGTGCCAGTATCTGCTCTGTGGCCGCAGGCAAAGCTTGCTCCTTCCTTCCCTGCCCACTGTCCCTTTGCCAGTCTCAGCACTAAAGCCCCAGCTCCCACTGCAGCTGTTCTGTCTGTCCCCTCACACAGAGGGGCCCTGGTAGTTTGGGTTTTTTTTGGGGGGACGGGACATGGGGGGACGGACGGTGGTCAGGTGATGCTAGTGCAACTGAAAATTACTTACTGCCACCACATAAATGCAAAATTTTATGAATTTCACAAATGCAAAATTCACGGTTTGTGAAATGCCGTGAGGTCTGAGACATCTGTCAGCAGCTTTTAAGGGCTTGTCTATCAACCAGGGCAGTATCTAGTATCCTGCTGTAGCACTGCTTGTCCTGAGCTCCTGTGGGGGGGTGGGCGGCACCATGCACTTGCTCCCCGTTTCCCAGGTTCATGCAGTGATGAAGGGCAGCGGGGTTTGGCAGGGTGTCTTTTCAGCTGTGCACCACAAGATGTGTTGCTGTCCTTAGAGGAAGGTTTCCTTCTGAAGCCTGAGCACCTGGATTAGTTTAAATGTGTGTTGGGTGGGTTGGGTTTGGTTTTTTTTAAACACTTGTGTTTGCTAGAGTCTCTACAAAGGAACATAAAGAGCAGTTTTGGGTTTGATGTCCAGGAGCCTGACTACAGAATTGCTGATGGGTTGGAGCTGGGGCCCTTGGTTATGCTGGCATGCCCTGGAGGGTGCCAGGCATGCACAGCTTCTGCTCGCCATGGCTCTTGGCTCTGCACGTGGTGTGTCTGTGTATCCGCCAGCACAGTCACACCCCCTTGGTCTCCTGCCTTGGTCTGGGCAGTCCCCACTGTGACTTGCAGATCTCAACTCTGTCCACGCTGGCGAGAGCCACCTGCAGCTCCTGCTCCTTTCTTGGTCTGAGCAGTCTCCACCATGACTTGCAGATCTTGACTCCATCCACACCGGTGAGAGCTGCCTGCAGCCCCCACTGTGGCGCTGGCCTGGCTGCACTCCCTGGAGCAGCCTCCCTGCCAGGCTGCAGCTTTGCTTTGCTTTGTGTTTTGTCTTCCCCAGCGCTCTGCAAATGCTAATTAGTCTTCTCAGCACCTCAGCTAGATAAGGGATCCCTGTTCCTATCTTGCAGATAAGGAAAGCAGCAGAACTTGTTTCAAACAGTCTCCTCCCTCCCCCACAAAGATGATGGAGTCCGTGGCACCCACCGCTGCAGCCTGTGTCCCTGCGTCCCCTTTCACTAGGGGTTGTGAGGGGGCCTCTCTTTGACTGGTCCCCAAAAAAGCACAAGAACATCTATGGCTGTGAGGCTCCTGAGCTGAAGCAGCTGGAGGAAAGGGCTGGATGCCATTGCCGTGAGCCCCAGGGCTGCAGTGCGGTGGGAGCAGGCACCCCGGGTGAGTTGCTCACAGTGAGAGAGGGAGCCCTGCTCTCCCCCAGCCAGAGAGATCGGTGCCTAATCAGGCTGCAGAGCAAGTTCGGTTATTTTTTTTTCTGCAGTGCCAGGCATGTCAGTGCTGTCAGAACAGGCAGGGGTGCTCTGTACCTGTGGAAAACCGGGCTGGCCGCAGGTTTGTGCTGTAGCAGCTGGTGCCTTTTGAAGCTATATTTGGTTGGTGACATCTGTGGGCGTTGAGTGGAGGACTTTAGGGGCTGTTTTGAAAGCACTTGCTCTTCCTACGCTAGCAGGAAAGTTTAAAAGCCTTGTGGCGAGCTTTGTGCCGTGGAACCGGGATTCTCAATGAGGCACATGTGGAATACGTGAGGAACATGTGGGACTGCCACTGCTCGTGGGGGGAGCCACTGCAGGTGGGCTGGGGAGGTCCTGGGGGGAAAGGGGAGGATTTGGGGATCCAGCTGAGAGCTTGGGCTCTCCCAGGGGGGAAATCCCCATGCAGAAGCCTTAGGGAAGGGAACCGAGGAAGGGGAGTGCATGTTGCTCCGTCGTGCCATGTCTGACTCTGCCTTATTGACACTTCAAAGCCTCCAGCTCTGAGCAAGGCTGGGCCAGCAGGATGAATCACAGGTTTTGAGGCTAGGAAGGGGACTGGTTTTGATCATCTAGGCAAAGTTATCCTGCCTTACGCAGGAGATCAAAGCCAGCTTTGAGTGGAGCTGGGTAGGCTATTCAGGGTGTTTCCCGGGGCGTCTCCAGATAGCCTCTGCCGTTCTTCAGGGCTCTTCTCTTCACCTCCCTCCCACCCTTGCCCCCAACTCTGGTCTGGGGTGTGCTTTTCTTTGAAACAAAGCCAGCGGAGTCAGCAGAAATGCTCGCTTCTGCTGGTCGTGTGGCACCTGGCACGGGCTGCCCCTCAAGGCGGGGGCCGGCAGGCTCTCCTGTCCCTGCAGAGCACCGCTGTCATGGAGGAGACCCTTGTACCTGGTCCTCACGGGGCTGGTTTGTGTTAGGCAGCGGCATGGTGCTTTGTTGGACTCTGTGTGCCCTGCGTGAGCCTGCTCCTGATCGGAGACCTTGCAGCCAAACCTGGGAGGGAAAAAACAAGTCGAATTTCTTTTTCTGCTTGTAAGGAGGTGGTGTGTGAGCAGGAGCCAAGACAGGTCATGGTGGGGCTGAGGTCTTGACTTGCTGTAAGTCTTGTGTGAGGTCCACGGTGGTGTGAACCCCAACAGTTGTGCCCTACCTTAAAACACCCCGAGGCACTCAAGTGTCTAAATACTTTTGGCTGTAGCAGGGTTTAGGCACTTCCCAGATCTGGCTCCTCCTCTCTGCACGTTCCCTCTTGTGAACTTGCCGCTCCGTGCTGGGATGCACTGGAGATCAAAGCACGAGATGAGCAGTGCCCATGTGCTGCAGGCTTGCGCGCCCCTCCATCAGAGCCCTCCTCTGCTCCTTGGGGAGGGTGGCCACATTGGCACAGTGATGGGCCTTGCCTGTTCAAGGGCATGTTTGTTTTGCTGTGCGTAACAGCAGATCAAGTTCTGCATGGTGCTTTACAGAGTGAGCTGAACTCCTCGCCACCCCTCCTCCCTGGCTGGCAAGGCCAAGCGGGGAGGGCTGAGCTAAGTCAGGGAGTGTCTTCCTGCAGTGGGACGGGGTTAAAGGTCCATTTCTTGGCCACCTGGATTGATCAGGGGTCTCCTGATCTTGATGGGGCTCTTCTGAGACCCAGATCAGAAGCTGGCTCTGTCTGTTCACCTTTTCCTCTTAGCCCTCCTTTTGCTGAAGGGGGAGCTGGCTTGCTTCCCACCTGCCTCCCTCCAGAGCTAACACTTCCACAACCCTCAGCTGTGTTTTAATAGTTTTGTTCTCCTCCTCTTGCAGAACATACAACTCCTGCAAAAGTGGTGAGGGCTGCCAACCCAAGACAGCGGAAAGGAAGTAAGGTAAGGCTGTGCCTGCCACCCCCCTCGCTGGCCTTCAGCTTCTGGTGCAGTTGTTCTCACTGTATGAGCATCTTGAGGGTCTGGTGAGCAGACTGTTTCCTTCGCAAGCCTGGTTGTGGAGGGGTTGATATGCTGGCCTGGCCGCTTCCGAGAATGTGGAGAAGAACATCCTGATTCTCCATCTCCTCTTCGGTGTTTTAGTGGTCTTGCATGCTGCCTGGACTGGTTTTCTGCCCAGCTAGGCTAGGGGAGACCTTCTCATCTCCCCTCTGGCAGGGAGGCACTTGGAGTGCAGTGCTGAATGTGGAAAGCCTCTCCCCCCACCCCAAGGACACCCCAAGTCCCTTGTGGGCTCAGCCAGTGCCCTGCTTTGCAGTGCAGACAGGGTGGTGGTGTGATAGAGCACTGTGTCTGCAGGTCTGTTCTTCCTTGTGCAGTCTGTTCTTTACTGGCACACGGAGAGCCAGGGTAATTGATTTCAAACAAAGACTCCTTTGGAGGAGCCAGGGCAATCTGTTCCAGGGGATCAACATGTGATGGAGGGACAGTTGCTTCTCAGGATGTTGCATGCAGCTGGGGCACAGCTAGGGACATGGGCTGTTGGTGTTGGCTCCCAGCAGCCAGTGAAGATGCATCTGAAAGTTGATATGACATTCCTTGTCTGCTCCATCTCAGGGAGAGGAGGGCCCTGGGGATGGAAGGTGCTCCTGTCTCTGTGAAACAGGCATGGCCTTGCACTGGAGGTGGTTTTCTCAGGAAACCTGCCTCCTGGGGAGAGGAGCATGGCACCTGAATGTAGAGACGTGATCTCATGGAGGACTCGGTGACTCCAAATTAATTTAGAAACAGTAACCCCACAGGGGCAAGGAGGAGTTTCTGTGCCCAGATAATCTTAAACTTAGTGCCCAGACATGATTCATTGTGTACCTGGGCAGCTGTTTGGGTCCTTTCCTCTCTGTCCTGCAGGTCCTCTCTGAAACCTGGAAGAGGTAGAAATGATGGTAGTGGCCAGGGCACTTACTCAGCAGAGAAGTGACTGGTGGTGCCCCATGTGGCCATGGGTTGTCTGGAACGAGGGAGCTCCCATCATCAGATACCTGCTTGAATTTTCCCACCGATTCTACTACGTGATCCCTTTGCTTTGTTGTTGCCAGCGCTTGGTCGCAGTTGGGCGCTTAAGTGAAGCTACGCCTGGCTGTAACCTGCCACTAGGTGGAGGCAGCTTCTTTAACGGGATGTGGTTGCCTAGGTGGATTTAGGATGCTGAAAGCTCTGTGCTTTCCCTGTCCAAGGGCCAGTGCCTGTGATGGGTGGCTTGGTGCCAAATGTTGCTGCTGGGGCAAAAAGTTTGATGGGAGCTGGGAGGCTGGTAGCTTACGGGGCAGCCGGTGGCAGCCTCATTATAATCCTGGATAGACATAAACTTGTCTGCAGTTATTTGGGATTTATTTGGGGGCCCTGCTTGGGTGGGGAGAGGGGCTGTGTGTATGCAGCTTGGGTGTCACCCCCAGACCTCTCGGGGACAGCTGTCCACAGGACAGCGGTGGGTGGTGGCTGTGACAGTGTGGCTGAAAGGGCTTCTGGCTGCTGATGCAGGGAGCAGCACCCGCAGCTTGTGCACTAATGAGACCTTTCTCTTTGGATACAAGGTTGGTGACTTCGGTGATGCCACAAACTGGCCAACACCTGGAGAAATAGCCCACAAGAGCGTCCAGGTGAGAACACACAATTCCTCTGGTGAGCAGGATAAGGCCCTTGCAGACCTCCCTGTCCCTCTGTGGTGCTGGGAGCGCTGGCTGAGCCAGGCCATTTGGGGTCCTGAGTGTCAGCACGGAGGCAGCCAGGAATAGCGTGCAGGGTGCAGGGGATTTCCTTTTAGGGCTGCCCTGCACATCGGGCTCCCTCCCTTGGTGCTATTCTGGGAGCCTGGAGCCCAGTCTAAACGCCTGGGCTGGGTGAAGCAGGTAGGGCAGCTCGCAGACCCGCTCTCCTCAGGGCTGCTCAGTGCAAGAAGGGGCCTGGGCAAAAGCCAAGACTTCCCCGGGAGAAACTGAAAACACACATGAGGACAGGCTAGTGTGTCCGAGGGGCATGGCCTTCCTTTCCTGCTACAGACGTGGGTGTTGTTGAAACCTTTCTATTTTTGGATGCTGCTTTGCCAGCTCCTGGCTGCCTGTCAGGACATGAGGGTCACTCATCCTTATGCCCTTGGGGCAGTCCGGTCCCTTGTAGGAAACGCCCCATCCAGGAGCACCAGGCCTCCCTGACGGTCCATCTTGGTAACTGCTGTGCCTGGGGCTTGTGTCTCAGCTCGAGCACTTCCCAGCATCTGTAGAGCCCCCTGCCTGGCTCAGACATAAGCCCTTCCCCAGGAACAGGACAGCTCTGGGAGGCACGGAGCAGGGATGCTCCCAGCCTAGGGCAAGGTCCTCCTGTTCTTGCTCCTGTTGGGACAGCTGGGGTCTGCCTCCAGCTCTTCATTTCTCCCACCTGTCACATCTTTCCTGCACTGGTGTGTCTCCAGCAGCCACACAAAGCACCGTCCCTCCGGAAACTGCCTGTCAAGAAAGACATGAAAGAGCAGGAGAAAGGGGATGGGAGCGACAGCAAAGAGAGCCTGAAAACCAAATCAGATGAGTCTGGGGAGGAGAAGAATGGTGACGATGACAACCAGAAGTCAGCTCAGAAGAAGAAAGGTAAGGCAGGACCTGGCAGGGACAGTACCCCGGGCTCAGCCTGTCTCCCCCTCTGTGACCCACAGCCAGGTGGTAGCACCCACCACGTTCCCTGGGGGCCTTACTGTGGGACATGGTCCCAATGCAGGGACAGCTGCAGTGAAAAGGTGTTTGCAGGCTTCAATGGGACAAAGTGTCATTTTGGTGGGAGCAGGTGGAGCAGGGCCCAAGTAGGGGCATCCGTGTGTCTGTCGGGGAGCAGGGCAGTAGTCTGCCCTCTCACGTGTGCTCCGTGGTGGCACAGAAAAGCCCGTGACTGTGGGTTGCATCAGCCGTGGTTGACACGTGGGGTCAGTCTGGCCTGAGCTTCAGCGGACAGAAAGGGGCAGAGGAAGGACAAGTGCCATGAAGCAACAGGGGAGTTTTGTGTCACGTCCCTTCATGCCTGAGAGTCCCGGTCGGAGCCTTTCTGCATCCAGTGAGGCCTGGAGGGATGCCTGAGGACAGGGTTGGTCCAAAAGGCCCCCCTGCTTTCTCTCCTCCATGTATGGTGTCTGTGTGGCAAGAGGGGGCTGTGGGGGAGGAAGCAGATGCTCTCTGAACCTGTGTCACACCCAAAACCTGTCCTTTTGCAGGCAACAAACACAAGTGGGTCCCTTTGCAGATCGACATGAAGTCAGAGGTGCCTAGGGACAAAACGGCCTCTCGGAACAACCGGCAAAACGAGCAGCACAGGCACCCCTCCAACAACCGCAGTGAGCTGAAAGGTGAAGGCTTGGGCTGGGAACCTGCTATCACTGTCCTTGGCCATGGGGCAAAGCGAGCCCCGATGCCCACGCATGGCATGGGGTGGTGGGGATGCTTCCTGTATTCAGAGGGCTCAGGGGGCAGTGGGCTTGCTTCAGGGAGGTGCCTTCATCCCGTAACACTCCTCCTCCTGCCTCTCCTTCCCCGTCTGCTGCAGGCTGGCACCCGGACAACAAGCATGAGCGCAGCTGGCAGGACCACGATGAAACCTCCAGCGTGAAGAGCGAGGGAGGAGCTGTGCGAGGGACCTTCCGGGGCCGAGGCCGGGGACGTGGCAGGGGACGTGGCCGTGGCAGAGGAGGTGATGACTGTATGTGCAGTCTTGTGACAGTAGGGAGAGAACAGGGCATGTGCCAAAGTGTGCAGGGCTCTGTGTGTGTGTGAGACCTGGGGCTCCAAAGCGGGCTGGGGAGGGTAGAGTGCTGTAGGAATACAGGGAAACATTGTGGCACGTCATCCCAGCTGATAAGTTGAGCTGCTTTTAATAAAAGCAAATTATTATTCTTAGTATTTTAATAAAGGCAAGTGTCTTTCCGCTACTTAGGCCAAGCTCTTCCACCTGTTTTCTGCCCCTTGCTGTACCTCTGTGTGCAGGAGTTGAAGCATGCTGATACTCTGCGTGGGCTTTATGTCATGTTGAGAGCCAAGCAGGAGTCTTGGCTTGGATGGGGAAGAGCATCTGCACTGGCATTTGGCAGGGCAGTGTCTGCTAACCCTGACACAGCTTCAGTGTAGGGCCTTCGTGTGTCACCTGGGCTGCCCAGTTGCTCCTGGGTAAGAGGGCTCCTGGCCTCTCTTCGGCTTGGTGTGTTGAGGTGTCACTGGGATCCCTTCTGAGGCAAAGGCTGAGGTGAGGATGTGGGTCAGTGATGCCCCATTGTGGGCTGCTATGGGGGCCCCAGGAACAGTGCAGAGGAAGCTATTTGTGCAGGAGTTTGGCCCCATCTGGCAGCGCAGCCTGTCTAGCAGATGCCAAGGGCTCTGTGCTGACCCTTACTGGTGTCCCACAGGGCATTTCGACTACCAGTATGGGTACCGGAAATTCGAGGGCTCGGATGGCTCCCGCACCCAGAAGTATGCTAGCAACATCACTTACTACTTTGACAACATCAGCAGCGCCGAGCTCTACAGCGTGGACCAGGAACTGCTCAAGGACTACATCAAGCGGCAGATGTAAGCACCGCCTCTTCTCCTGTCTGAGTGTTGGCTGGTGGTGGGATGTTCACAGATGCCCTCCCTAGAGACTGCGTAGCTAATCCCGTGGGTAGGGTTAGAGCCGAGGTGCGTTGACTCTGTGCCATGCAGTTTGCAGCACCAGCTTGCCCCAAGTCTGGGCTCCCCAGGCTGTCTCTCTTCAGCCTCGCAGTAGCAGAAGTGTGGGGGGGGATTATTTCCTCAGGGGTGCCCAGAGGAAGGTGGCTTGGAGCTGCCTCTCACTGACGTGTTGTCCATACAGAGAATATTACTTCAGTGTGGACAACCTGGAGCGAGACTTCTTCCTGCGTCGCAAGATGGACTCGGATGGCTTCCTTCCCATCACCCTGATTGCCAGCTTCCACCGGGTGCAGGCGCTGACCACTGACATCAGCCTTATCATTAAGGTGAGGGCAAGGAAAGATGAACTTTCCTTCTTGTTCTGCTTCTCACCACCCCTGTCTGAGGCCTGTTTTCTAGATGGGCTGTGGGTGAGATGCAAGTGGAGCCTTCCCTTGTCCTTGACTTGCTCTCTCCTCCTCCTCTTGGTCCTCCTAGGGAGGAAGGGCTGGGGCTGAGCCACTCAACGTGCCAAGGCAGGGCTCTAAGTTAACTGGGTATCACTTGGTTCCAGGCTCTGAAGGACAGCAAAGTGGTGGAAATCGTGGACGAGAAGATCAGGAGAAAAGAGCAGCCAGAAAAATGGGCTCTGCCTGGCCCTCCTATGGCAGACTACACACAAACAGACTTCTCACAGTTCATCAACTGCCCTGAGTTTGTGCCCCGGCAAAGCTTCCAGAAAGAGACAGGTCAGCACTGGGGGAATGTGGAGGGAGGTGTGGGATGCAGTGTTGGTACTGCAGCAGGACTGAGACCCTGAGAGTCAGGAGTGTTCCCCAAGGCGGGGCTCTGCCGTTTGCTTTCTGCTTGGTGGTGGGAGCTGGTATGGGCTCTGTCTTCAGACCACCAGAGTGCTGCTGCCTCTTGTACATGGGGAAATATGAAAGAGACAGAGTCTGTGGCTTTTCCTCTGCGGGGGCTGAAGGGATTCAGAAGGGGTCAGTCCTGCTGAAAGTCTCAGCTGTGCCTGGAACTGTGCTACCACTGCTGGGCAGAGCAGAGGGCACTCGTGAACCCGACCTTTTACTTAATGGGTGAGGAGATACTGGGCACAAATGGGGCAGCAGGTATGGAGCTGTCAACCGAGTGCTGGGGAAGGGTCTGCTGTCCTTCATGGGCTGCCCCCTGCTCTTGTCACCCCATCCCGTGGGTGCTGGCAGAAGCCCAGGGCTGGGCCTGAGAGGCCAAGTGGAGGATCTTCTTGGTGCTGTCATAAGAGTTAGTTCTGGCAGGAGAAGATCTGTTTCCACTGGCTCTGGGCTGTCTCGGAAAGATTTCCCCGAGAGCAACAGAGTCACCGCCTGCTTTAGGGCTCTGTGTGTCTGTGATACTGTCACCTGCAGAGCTCTGTGGCTGCCACCAGCATTACAGCCTTAACCAGACACTTCCCCCCCCCCCAAGCACTTGTGGGCAATGTGCTGGTAAGCCTTGGCCACTGGATGCTAGTTAGTCCCGCAAGCTGTGCCATGCTGCCAAAATAACTCCCTCTTCGGTCAGGTGCTTTAACTACACAACCCCCCAGGCTCCCCCCCTCCCTCTAAAGCACCTTGTGGCTCTTGGTGGCTCTTTAGTCTGCTCCTGGCTCCCCGCGTCCCGCCAGCCCAGTCCCCACCAAAACGGAGGAGGTCAGTAACCTGAAGACGATGCCCAAGGGCCTGTCTGCAAGTCTGCCAGACCTGGATTCAGAGACGTGGATTGAAGTGAAGAAGAGACCTCGACCCTCGCCAGCCAGGCCCAAGGTAGGTGGTGATGTAGGAGCTGTTGGGGTGGGGGTCTCCCAGTTGTCTGGGTGACTTGAATCATAAGTAGGCAGGCTTCAGATCAAGTAAGGTCTGTCTGTCATGGGAGTGATGTCCTAGTCTCTCCTGGCCCCATCTGACCCCCTTCGGAGCTGCTTCCCAGTGGTGTAAATAAGGTATTCTCCCCAGATGGGCACCTTCTGGCTGCAGTAAGGAAACATGGGGCAATAGTTGCGTCTCCAAGCAGAAGGCTTGTGCCGCTATGTGGTCTTTACCCTGTGTCACCCTTGCCCACCTACCTGTAGAAACCAGAGGAGTCAAAGACACCACAGCAGCAGAAGCAGAAGGACCAAGATGAACCTGAGGAGCTAGACTTCCTCTTTGATGAGGAGATGGAGCAGATGGATGGCCGCAAGAACACCTTCACTGACTGGTCAGATGAAGATTCGGATTATGAGATCGACGATCGGGATGTGAACAAGATCCTCATCGTGACGCAGACGCCTCCTTACCTGCGCCGGCATCCTGGCGGGGACCGGACTGGTAACCACACATCCAGGGCTAAAATGAGCTCAGAGCTGGCCAAGGTGATCAACGATGGGCTGTACTACTACGAGCAGGACCTGTGGACAGAGCAGTTTGAGCCAGAGTATTCGCAGATCAAGGTGAGAGCAGCTGATCCAAGGAAGGGAGTGCATGTGGGTACGGGGCTCCTGACGGGGAGCTTCATGTGCAGCAGACTGGCCGCCTTGGTGGTGTGGGGTGGAAAGGGTGGTACAGCGGGTTACAGCCCACTCATGGGGTAGGGCTAAGCTGAGATTAGTCCTCTTGTAGAGCTCAGGATTCCTGGCTCCCAGTGTCATGCTCTGCTGTGTTGGGGATAAACACAGCTCTGTAACATGGCGTAAGGCTGCAGCCAGGTAAACAAAATGCTGGTAACGGGGTGACCTGGAACATGGGGTCCATTGCTCCGCTGTCTGCCAGGGTCTTGGCAGACAGTGCCAGATCTATGGAGGGAACCAGGTGTCCATAGTGCCCAGCGCTCCATGGCACGGTCCCTTGGAGACTGCACTTATTGGGGATGGGTTCATTGATGGCTGGGCTGCACTTGGCCTGTGCTCTTCTCCGCTTTGCTGCTAGTTTGCATAGACTTGGGCTTTTTATAGAAAGCCCATCTGCTGCTTTGAAACATTTGAGTCCCAGCTTGGTGACTCTCACGGTCGGGGACTTGCCTAGGCTTGTTCAGCAGCTGGAGTTATTTTGGCTGCAAGGTGGGCTGGCCCATTGGAGCTACCAGCTGAGCTCAGTGTTCCCACGTCTAGTACCTGGTACATTGCTGAAGCAGTGCTGCTCTTCGAGGTGGTAGAAGCTGAGGGTGTGGGGAGAGCAGGTGACAGAGGGACAGTGTGTGCTGGGGGTATGGGTCCTTCAAATACATGGGAGCATTGTGCCCCACTGCTGGTGTGGTGGTGAGGATGAGGGGAGGAGGCTCTAGGGACGCAAGAAGGTGGCGGGGACAGTGGGGTCCTGGCCAGGCTTGCCTTGAACCTTGCTGCACCGGTGCTGATGCAGGCCTGAAAGAAGCAAGCCATGGTTAGCGGAGCTGCCTTGTAGGATCCCTGAAAGCTTGGGAGCAGCAAGTGGCTCAGATCTGGCCCATGCAGGGCCCTGTTGCAGGGGGGGCCAGGTCTGCTGCATCTCCCCTCCCTACCTCCATGCAGCACGTCGCCCTTCTGGGCACCAAGGCCTTATGGCTGCACTTGGTGCCCAGCATTGTGGCCATTGCACAAGCCATTGCACAATCGGTCACGATGAGTTGATGGGATGAGGGTAGAAGAGGGCAATTGGTTGCTTCATTGTCGTCCTCTTCCAATGCAGCAAGAAGTGGAGAACTTCAAGAAGGTGAATATGATCAGCAGGGAGCAGTTTGACACCCTGACCCCAGAGCCCCCCGTGGATCCAAACCAGGAAGTCCCTCCTGGTCCCCCCAGGTTCCAGCAAGGTAAGAGACAGGGGACACGAGTGGGGTGGGACTGATTTGTCCCTGTTCCTCCTAGTGAGAGGTCCTTGGAGGTTGGGTAGCAGCTGGGGAGAAGGAATTGGGGCCACTGGTGTGTGGGATTATCTTTCCCAGAGCAATGCTCTTCTCCCAGCTGAACGTTTTGGGGCTCCAGAAGAGGAGGCCCAAAAGCAGAGGTGTTCCAGCAGAGTGAGGAAACTTTGGTGGACTTTGATGTAGCTCCCTGGATGTGATTTTTCTTTTGGACCCTCTTGGAGTACCTGGAAGGCAATTGGCCACTGGGCCTCGCTTGCCTGTGTGTGGGGCCTGGTGCCCTGTCCTTCTCCTGGGGATGGGGGATTTGTCACTGCTGTTAGCCACTGGGAAGCAGATACCTTGTGGAATCCCTGGAAGCTCAGTCCTTGGATCTGCTTGCTAGGCTTTGGGCTGTTTGGCCAGGCTGGATTTGAAGCTGCTTGTCTCGGAGGGCTGGGATGTGACCCTGCATTCCTGTCCCTGCTGTTTCCCATCTGCCAGATGGGTGTCCCTTGGCTATAGTGATGCTCTTGTGCTCAGAGCTCAGCTTGACCCAGGGTGGGGGGTTTCCTCTCTGCAGTACCTACAGATGCTTTGGCTAACAAGTTGTTTGGAGTCCCTGAGCCTTCAACCATTGCCCGGTCTTTGCCTACGACTGTACCAGAATCACCCAACTACCGCAACGCCAGGACCCCCCGGACCCCTCGCACACCTCAGCTGAAGGACCCGACACAGACGCCCCGGTTCTACCCGGTGGTGAAAGAGGGCAGGACGATAGATGCCAAGGTGGGACCAGGCTGGGGTGTGGGACAGGAGCTGGGGTTTCCCAGTGGGGCCTGGGGAGGAAGGGGACGTGTACCTGATGCACCATGTCTTGCAGACTCCACGGAAGAGGAAGACGAGGCACAGTTCAAACCCCCCGATGGAGTGCCATGTGGGCTGGGTGATGGACTCTCGGGAGCACAGGCCCCGAACTGCCTCAATCAGGTACTGGAGACAGGCATGCATGATCACGAAGGAGCCAGAAATGGGAAAGGGAGCGAGTGCGGGAAGGAAGGGGAAAGGCAGCGCCTGGTCTTGCAGGGGAGGTCTCCTGTTAGGTGGCTGCAGAAAAGACTGGGACCCAACTTGTCCCTCCTGGAAGGAGCTGAGGAAAATGTGAAGCCTTGGAGTAACAACATGAGACTCAGCTGGAAACATTGGTTCCCTCCTTAGTAGGATACACCATGGCTCAGGTCCCAAACCCAGAGTAGACAGTCACAGGGAGTTGGTGGGACCAACAGACAAGTGCTGTGGGGTGGAGTGTGACCCCACTCCACTGTCGGCTGGGTGATGCCAGGAAGGGGGTTGACGGAAGTGTCTCTCATGCTCAGTTCCAGCCCCTCGGAGGGGACCCCAGCTGTCGGAAGCTACGGATGCACCCCGCAGTCCCTGCCCAAGTTTCAGCATCCTTCGCACGAGCTGCTCAAGGAGAACGGCTTCACGCAACATGTCTACCACAAGTACCGTCGGCGCTGCCTTAACGGTAGGGATGCCTGCACCGCAGGGCGTGGGGCAGGATGTCTCTGCTCTGCTCTGTCAGGGGGCAGGGTACGGCTGCAGAGCATGCCCATGGAGATAAGCAGGGAAATAAGCAGGGTCCTACAGGACAACCTTGCTGGTAGCTGCTGTTTCCCCACAGTTTGTAGTGAGCACAAGCTGTGGCTCAGGGCATCAAGCACTGGGACTGGGTGTAGTCACAGTGACACAGGGCCCTCCTGTACATGAGCCCCTGTGCAGAGCTGGCTCCCTGGGAGAGGATCTGCCTTGCAATCATCCCCTCTTCCCGAAACAGAGCGGAAACGACTGGGCATTGGTCAGTCCCAGGAGATGAACACGCTCTTCCGGTTCTGGTCCTTCTTCCTCCGAGATCACTTCAACAAGAAAATGTACGAGGAGTTCAAGCAACTGGCTGTGGAGGATGGGAAGGAGGGATACAGGTAGGAGAGAAGGGGCAGAGTGGCCTTTCCTGGGAGGGGAGTGGGGGAAGGATTCGGCCTTTTGCAGGGCTCACAGCAAAACAAAGGCAGTATCTCTGCCTTGCTCAAAGGTAGGACTGGGGCCACCCTCAGTCACCTCCTACTGCTGGTACGCAACAGGGCTCTTGCCGCAAGAGCCTCTCTGCCTGGGTGTTGCATGCACTGGTGTCTGAGTACCACATGCTGCTGTGTTCCCAGGTACGGTCTGGAGTGCCTTTTCAGATACTACAGTTACGGGCTGGAGAAGAAATTCCGGCCAGACATATTTAAGGACTTTCAAGAAGAGACCATCAAGGATTACGAAGCTGGTAGGTGCCTCCTTTGGCCTTCCCTGAGGTTGGCAGCGATGTAGCCCAGCTGCATGGCTGCCCCTGGGCCTCTTCTCATGACTTTGGGGAAGCCACGTAAAGCTGTACATTAACGTGTGCAGCGGGGACCGGCTGGATGTCCTGTTGCTCGCTTCACGGGAGAGGGTTGAGTGGATGCTCACCAGCCTGAAGACTTCCTGAGGGGGGCAATGGGAGGCTGTAGCTCTCCCAAAACATTTCTCTAGATGCACCGGTTCCTCTAGGATTTCTCAAGGCCCTGCAGTGGCTGAGCTCTGTCACCACCAGGTCAGCCGAGCCTGGGGACATCCCCTGTCAAGAGGGCTGCCAGTACTGATGTAGGTTGCTTCCCTCCAGGTTCTCCATCTCAGCTTGGTTGTGCTCACCAGTGGGACAGGAGGGTCCATGGGGTTGAGCGGTGGGGAAGCCTGGAGGAAAGGGTTCTGATGTCTGGTTTGATTTTTGTTCTGCTGACGTCTGGTTTGGTTTTCTCCCCCTTCAGGACAGCTCTATGGGCTGGAAAAGTTCTGGGCCTTCTTAAAATATTCCAAAGCCAAAAATCTGGACATTAACAGCAAACTGCAAGAATACCTCAGCAAGTTCAAGCGCCTCGAGGACTTCCGAGTGGATGTGAGTAGACACAATGCCTGCACCACACTGATGGCCCCTGCAAACACCCCTTGGTCCCCTCCGAGGAGGATTTTGGGGGCCGGTCCCCAGGCAGTGCTAGGTAGGGGAAGTCAGTGACACCTAGTGTCATGCCCTGTCATTGTAGCTGGGCCAGGAGCAAGCTGCAGGGTTTGAATATTGCAAATCCAGTTCAGAGCAGCTCTCTGGGGAATTGGATGAGCCCATCTTCCCCGATGAGCTGAGGAGGAAAGTGAGCCTGGATGGCTTGAATGGCGCTAGCATTGTGTGGAGCTCTGGCTCCCGGACTTCTGGACTGTGCCCCTCTGTGGGAAGGAGGTGCCTAAGAGCAAGTTGTCACCCTTGTGCTCGATTGGAAGTCGGTCTGTCTTTCTGTCAGCAAATCTGGCAGCGGTAGATTTGGAGAGAAGGGCAGCTGTGTGCTTGGGGTGGGTATGCATGTTCCTTGTGGGTCAGGGAGAGGCATCGCAACTAGAGGTTTGCAGGAAGGCTGTTCTCTGATCCAGGGGGAGGGCATCTGCATTTGGAGGAGGTTGTGCTGATACTGGGGTGCTTCTCTTCCAGCCACCCATGGGGGAGGAAGGTGGACACAAGAGATACCCTACGACGTCAGGGGGAGATGGCAGGAAGCGCTACCCATCCCAGTCTTCCAGCAAAACGGTCAGCCAGTGCCCATCCAGCCAAGCCCATGCCTCACCCAGCCAGCCTGCACAAGAGGATGCCAAAAACCTGAGCCAGCAATCTCCTGCCCCGTCGGCTGCAGAATCGCAGACAGTGGGGAAGTAGAGAGGCTGCAGTGTCTGCTTCCTGCCAGGGGACAGGGTGGGTTGGTGGGGGACTGGCTCGGAGAAGGGGAGATGTGAGGGAGTGGGACAGGAAGGGAGCTGGAAGGTGGGTGCCCAGGAATAGGCTGCTTGGGAGAAACTTCAACGCACACGATTTTTTTTTCTCTCGTGGCTGGAAAGCAAAGATGATCTGCATCTAAAACACCATTTTGCTATTACAAACCTGACCAGAGCCAGACCTGCTCCCAGCAGACCCACCCTTTGCTTTCCCTTCCCTCCCCTCCTGTGCACATGCTCATGTCTTAGTGTCTCTTCAAAAAAAAAAAATGTTCTGGCTGGGTTGGAAAGGGGAGATTTTTTTATTATTATATATATATATCAAGTTTTAAATTATTGCTAGAAGTTCGTCTGGATTTACCAAAACAAGTCTGCTCTGTGTGGCCCCAACAACTCCCCTCTGTGTCCCCCCTCGGATCGCAGGGCAGCCTGCTGAGGAAGCTCGGAGGAGCGAGGTTCCCTGATGGGGGACCGAAGCCGCAGTGTGTCACGATGCTGCGGAGCCTCTGATCTCCATTACCTGGCTGACGTCGGGGGGCGGCCCCCCCCCCCCACCCCCCCCCGCCGTGACAGGAGCGTTGCCCTGTTCCCTCCTCGCCAGCGTCTTCACCTCCAACCTTCCGGAGGGTCTGGCTCTCCCTCCACCCGCCTCTCCCTTCCATCACGGACAATTTGGAAGTCAACCAAAGGACCTTTGCCAAGGATAGGCTTGTTCTGACTCCTTCCTGCAAGGACGGCTGGTGGGAGGCCGGCAGGCACCTGGACTCGAGCCTGCGTGGACGGTGCACCCGCTGCCCCAGGAACACCCATAGCATGCAAAGACAGGACTTTGCCGAAGGAGGTTTTCTCTTCCTTTTCTCTTGGAAAAACAAAACAACAACAAAAAACTCAAACCCCTCTAAAACAACAACAACAAAAAACTCTTCAAAAAGACACATCTCCCTTTGCTTTCTTCCTTGAAAATATTATTGATGAAAAACAAAGAAAAAAAAAACAAAAAAAAAACCCAACAAAAAAAAAGTTGCCTTATGGTGGAGCTAGACTGGGGAGGCTTGCTGACTTCCCGCACCCTGGGGCGCACTGGGCACTCGGCCCCCCCGGCCCAGAGACTCCTCACGGCATTGCTGCCGAGCTGATCTTCCCCGCGGCCTTTCCTCTGACCCCACAGCTCGCTTGGATGCCTCCCCCCCGTTGCGGAGACCCCCTGCCAGCCCTGATTCTCGTGGGGGAAGGTGCCGAGGGCAGTCAAATCTAAGACTTGTGCTCACGAAGTAGTTGAAGCCGCTACGTTGTGTATATACCATTATAGCATCCTCCCCGCGACAGCGACTGTATGTGCTTATGGCCTCACTCGGACACCCCTGTGCCCTCTCCGGGCAGGCTGGGGCGGGAGGTCAGTCTGCTCCGCTCTGCGCCTCCGGCGTGGTCGGGGGGTGAGTGGGGCAATCCCTCTTAGCAGCTGGAGGGACTGGTCCTTGCTGTGAGCGAGTGGGAGGGCTGGCATGTCCCTGGTGCCATTTAATGCTGTAGCCTGACGAGGGAGTGACGCAGCCCTGGAGAACCCGTCTCTCACAGCTGTCACTGGCCCAGGGCTGCTGGTGGGACCTTGTGCTGGGTGTGAGTGGGAGACCTGCCTGGCAAAGGAGGGATCTTGCCTGGGTTTCCTTGTGCGTCATGTCTTGGCAGGTGGCTGCATGGAGTCTCCTGCCTAGGGCAGCGTCCCTGTGCATCTCTGAGGGCTGAGATAACATCATGCTGCTCCTTGCTTGGCTGAGGCAAAGGGATGGCTGCAGAGCTGCTGTGGCATTTACTTGGTTCCTCTACCCAGCACCAGGTGGGCTTCGGCAGGCAAACCCTCCCAAGGCTCGTGAGCTGCGTTCCCTCGCAGGGGCCATGTGTCAGAGGGGTGAGATCTGCTCCCGGGGCCTGCAAAGTCATGCTCCCACTGTAAGGGTAGAAGCTCCTTTTCAGCCAGAGCTGCTTGCCTTGCTGCCGCTGTGCTCTGTCCTCTGGGTCGGGATACCTGCTTTGCAGCTGGCTTGGTTGTGGCTCCGGCACTCCATCCTCGTGAGCTGCAAAGCGTGCTCCTCCTCTGCACGGTGCGGAGTGGGCACCGCAGTGGGCTACTCCAAGATGCAACTAATTGCGTTACCCTCTGCAAAATCACAAGCTGGTAATGAACAGTGTTTTCTCAAAGTATCCAGTTGATCCAGAGCTGTGTCTCATAGCTGGGAGGAGGAGTCATCTCTCCAAGGCTGTCCCTGTGGGGCTGGTGGATGAGAGCAGCCAGGACCTGAGAGCAGACATCAAGAGGGCGAGCTTGGGCAAGCTGTCGATTAGCAGTGGCTGTGGATGCTCGTGGGGCCCTGGCTTGAAGTTATTACCTTCCCGAACTGACACTGCATCGAAGATGATGCTGCTTTAGGGG